TACCAAACTTCACAGATTCAACTTAATTATTATTTCAAACTTGTACCGGGCTCCGAAACCAAGATACGGGCCTGATACCATCAAAAAAATGCATCAATTCACTTCTAAAAACCGTTATATTTTCTAGAAAATAATTTTCATTAAAAATTTATTTCTCGAGCTTGGGACCTCGGAATTCGATTCCGGGCATACGCCCAAGTCCCATATTTTACTACAAACCTTACGAGACCGTCTGATCACGGGTCCGGGTTCGTTTACCAAGAATGTTGACTAGAGTCAACTTTATTCAATTTTAAAAGCCAATTTTCATATTTTACTTAGTTTTCACATAAAAACTTTCCGGAAACGCGCCCGGATTACGTACGCAAATCGAGGTGAGAGAAATGAAGGCTTCTAAGATCTCGGAACACATAATCTACTTGTAAATCAAGTGATGACCTTTTGGGTCATCACATCTAGTTTCTAAGGAGATAACATGTATGTGTGGTTTTAAGAAATTTATAGTGCTGCTACACTGTACTTCGTTTTATTTTTTTCCCTAGCTTATTAGAGGAAGTTTAGCCATTTGGTAGTTCAGAGTTACAATAATTATGTGATTGGTTTCTATTATTCTGTGGATTACCTCTTTTCGATAATTACACATTCGAGAATAAATTGGCAAGAACATATTTTTTCTTTTTTGCATTCAATATTTCAAAGACGAGTATATACAAATACTGTAATTCAAAATAATTAATTACTAATAAGGTAGTTCTATAGTAGGAGGCTAATGAACTGAAGCATTAACAAGAATATTATACAAATATGCCATGTATAGCCGAGAAATCAATAAAGAAGACTTCGAGGATCATTCCTTTATATAATTCTGGCTCAACAGGAACATAACGTATTTTGAGGGGAAGGAAGAGAATATTTATTGCTGAATAATAGATGCATCCATGGTTTGAAATTTTGGTGTAATGCTGATACGCTAACGATCTTCATGTAATGTTGGAGTTTCTAGATTCCTTACAGCTTTAGAGGAACCCAATCTAGCTTTGTTTTACTTCGTCTCAGTACCAGCTTGGCGCTGAGTCTATTTTAATAATAATATCTTTACTTTTAAAAAAATATATGGCATGCAAATAGAGCTATTTTTTGTGGGCCATCTCCTATTTTTGGAAAAATCTTTCTCAAATAATATGTTGTCTACATTTGAAGGAATCTTATTAGAGGTTGTAGGTTTCATACGCCTCCAACATGCTTTGGCAGTTTTGTGGCCTTACAATGGTATTGGCTTCAAAGCATTAAGATCTCTCTTCTGTTGGGCTTCACAAAATCAACTGGAGATATAGTGTACGTTAATCTACTTTTTTTTTTACTAATGTGATAACAGATAGCTGCCAAAGTTCCTCTCTTCGTCGTTAGTTCTTTATACTTTGATCTACTTCTTCTGTTTCTTATGGTAAAGTTGCTTTATTTGCTACTTTATCTTTTTATCACCAGTATTAACGTGAGATCCTTCTTTATTTGTGTACTCTCTCCTAACAAAAATGCTTGAAATGTTACCTTAGAAGAAGCCTAATGAACCATCATTTGCTGATCTGAAAAGGTTAGATCATGGATTACTCGGTCCAGAAATGCTAAGATGTTTATTTAAAAGTGGTATAAAATTCTTGCGTCCTTGTTGTGGACATAAAATATAATTTTCCTTAATATTAATTCTTGAATATTTTCTTACTTGAAGAGATCTCCTTTCATATTACAGATTCCTCATACATGTTCATAAATGGAAGTAGATGAATAACGTTATGCAAGTGTTCTAAGGCCTGTTAAAACTATGGTTTAGACTCATTAGCCAATTCATACTGTTTCTTGTTGTATTTTAGAGTAAATATAGTCAACTATAAAAATCAAAATATATCATTATTTCTCTATTGTTACTGCCGCAATGTGTTCAATTTTTCTTTGTTCGAAAGTTGCTACAAACTATGGACAGAACAAACGAATAGATGTTTTAACGTTGTAGAATATTGATGCCTTTCATCTAGAAACTCTGTGCCTCCAAGATAAATATATATCTCTTTGATTCTTGTTCCATTTGTTGCAATTACTTACAAATTTTTCCATTTTTATATCGTTTGACAGTGGCAGATAGTGATGAATTATGGGGATAGCACGACATGCCAAACTAGCAGTTTGTTAAGGCTTTCATTATGAGGAGACTTTGCTGAGTACATTGCCTTTTTCCCCCCTCTCTTTTTGGCTGTCCAATTCTTAATCAAAACGAGAGTCGATATACTCAGCTGATAATAGATCTAATCATTTGTACTATTAAAGCTTGAAATGCAAAAATTAGTGCTTACACTTGAGTGTATTTTATGCAATTGCAGTATTTGCTTACTAATGACATTCCAAATCGGCAAATGGTTGAAAAGTTGATCAATTCCTGTAAAGGTTGGGCTCGTGCTAGCACGGGCTATATCCATCTAGTACTCTTAGAGAGAGTCTAAATGAAACATTTCTTCATATATTAATTCTACTTATTTAGAAGCGGGAGCAAGGACCTCTTTGTCATCCCGCTTGGTTCTTATCAAATTAGCATTGAGGGCATTTGTTCCTTAGAAGCATTTCAGGAAACGTGCTTCGCGCTATAGATTGAAGGTCGGGAGCAGCACATAATTTGATGAGAAAGCCATGAGTTTTTGTTATAATTATCGGAAAACCATCCGCTTCCACCGATCACTGACTATTCCATGTATCTCATTCTCTCTCTTTCCTTCTGCTCTGTCTCTTTCGTCTTCTCCATCGAGGATTTGACAAATAAACCCTAATAGGCAGACGAATAGGCAAAGCTCCTGCTTTATCGTCCTTTTGTTCTTCATCTTACTGTAGCGTGTTGCGCTACATCAGTTGAATTGAAGGCAGCTCGTGAACAAAAGAAAGAAATAAAAAGAATGTAAAAGCTAAGTAAAACAGTAATTTGGATTCATAAAATCTAATTGATGATTACAAATGCATAGAGACAGAATATAAAGATGATAGAGGCACAATTGTACTGGCCGTTGGTACCTAATGGACAGGTGTCCTTGATTCATTAGACCGTGTACTATAGACTAATTTGTAATATTCCTAAACTAGGAGGCTATAACCTAAGGACTGATAAACAATTATAATTAACTAAGGTGCCCCTCCCCATTCCTTCCTGATTTCTAATTCAAATTGTGTCACGCTAATTCTTGACAATTCCACTCCCCTTAAGGAAACCCATGGCGTCAAACATCAAATCCAAGAAAATGTGATTTGAGGAAATGATAATCCTCCCATGTTGCTTCTTCTTTTCAAAGATTTGCCCACTGGACAAACACTTGGACAGCTGCTTTGTTGCCTTTCTTAATTATTTGTCTTTCTAGAATAGCTATGTGCTAGGTTAATATGTGACCTTCATTGCTGCAATAGGGAGGGTCTATGGAAGGAACCACTTGATCTACAATCTTCTTTTTTAGTTGCGACACATGAAAGACAGGATGAATTTTTGAACCCACTAGTAGCTTGAGCTCATAAGCGACAGCTCCAACTTTTCGACTGACTTCATGTGGGCCAAAAAATCTTGCTGATAATTTAAGGTTCTTCCAAACAGCCACAACATTTGGCGATAAGTTTGAAGTTTGAGGTAGACCATATCTCCCACCTTGAATTCCCTTTCACTCCTTTTTAAATCTGCAAATTGTTTCATGCGATTCTGAGCTTGGACCAAATTATCCTTCAATATTCGATCTAGTAATTGCCTCTCTTTCAATACTTGATCCACAGATTTCACCTTTGATTGTGCAATAATCTCGAAACTAGGAAGTGGAGGATCATAGCCGTAGAGGGCCCTGAAGGGTGTCATGCCAATAACTGATTGGAAGTTTGTGTTGTACCAACATTCAGCCACAGAAATCCATTTGATCTAATCCTTGGGCTTGTGACCAGTCATGCATCATAGGTAAGTTTCAATACATTGGTTTAGACTCTCCGATTGGCCATCAGTCTGTGGATGATAAGCCGAACTTAGGCGTTGCTCTACCTGTAATCCTTTGAACATTTCCTTCCAAAACAAACTAGTGAATATGGGATCTCTGTCGGAAATGATGGATTTTGGGACCCCATGTAGCATTCAAACATTATCCAAGAATAATTGAGCTACCTGTGAAGCATTATAGGGATGAGTTAGAGTAAAGAGATGTGCATACTTTGTGAATCTGTAAATAACCACCAGAATTGTATTCTTTCCAGAGGAGTTGGGCAGGCCTTCAATAAAGTCCATAGTCACATGTTCCCAAGCCTTAGATGGTACTGGAAGAGGTTGCAAAAGGTCCAGGTATGGTACATGTTCAACTTTATTTCTCTGGCAGGTATCACAAGTTTTGACCTTTTCCTTGATATCCTTCATCATACTCGGCCAAAAGAAGTTAGCTTTCACCCTTTTGCTGAGTACCTAGGATCCCAGATTGACCCCCCCACGAGGTGCAATGCATTTGCTCAATTATCTTGTCTCTGTTCCGGACATTATTACCCACCCATAACTTGCCATTCATTCGTATGACTCCCTTGACGAAAGTGACATTTGGAACAACAGTTGAGTCCAGAGTTAATTGTGCAATCAACTTTTGGGCTTCTTGATCCCCATCATAGCTTTCGATTAGCTCGTGAACTATTGGGCTGAACAACTGATAGTCCATAGCATTCTGATGGCCCAATCCCTTCGCTATTGCGTTCAAATTTTCTGGATAAAGCATCTGCCACAACTTTATTAACCCCTTTATGAAATTGTATTTCATAGTTGTGGGCCATAAGTTTGGTGATACCTTTATGTTGCAAAGTCGTAGTCACCCTTTGATCCTTCAAGAATTTGAGGCTGAAGTGGTCTGTCCGGATAATAAAATGGTTGGGCTAAATGTAATGCCGCCATTTGTCTATTGCCAACAATAAAGCCAACAGTTCCTTCTCATACGTGGACAAGCCCAAATGTTTTGGGCTCAAGGCTTGATCAGAAAAGCTATTGCCTTGTGATTTTGCATCAAGACTGCTCCGATCCCTGTCCCACTTGCATCAACCTCAATAATAAATGGAACGGAGAAATCAGGAAGTCCCAGAACAGGAGCTCTAATCATGGCATTTTTCAGTTCATCAAACGCCAAAGAAGCTTTTTCACTCCAACTGAATGCTCCTTTTTTTAACAGTTTGGTTAAGGGTCGGCTAATGATTGCAAAATGCTTAATGAATCATCGATAATAGCCAGTTAACCCATGAAATACCCTCAGCTCTCATAAATTTTGTGGATAAGGCCAATCCACCATTGCTTCAATCTTTGATGGGCCGGTACTCACCCCTTGGCCTGATATCAAAAGGCCCAAGTATTCAATTTGGGTTCGGCCAAAACAACATTTTGACATCTTAGCAAACAACAAATTAGCGCTTAGAACTTCAAATACCATTTTCAAATGTTGCAAATGATCTTCTAGGGACATACCGTATACTAATATGTCATCAAAGAAAACAAGGACAAATTTCCTTAAATATGGATTGAAAAGTTATGTATCAAAGCTTGAAATGTAGTTGGTGCATTAGTAAGGCCAAAAGGCATTACTCTAATCTCCCACGATCCATGATGAGTTTTAAATGCCGTCTAGAATTCATCCCCTTTCCTCATACGTATTTGATGGTATTCGGACCTCAAATCTAGCTTGAAAAAGTAAGAAGTTGATCGGTTCCAACCCTATACCACTATAATTGGCAAGAGTGGTCGATGCAGCTTTTACCCGAAAGGTCGGGATCGATATCCATAAGGATCTAATATTAGTTTGGAGTTGGGTTTCTATCTAATCTAGTTATGTGTGTTGTTCTTAATTGCACTTCTAACCATGTTTTGTTTTGTTTCTGTTATACTTTTATGCTAAAGAATGCTGAAAGTAAGCTAAGTATAATGTTTTTGTAAGGGTTTTGTCAATTAATAAAAGTCACTAGGGAAGTGACTTACACCTAGGCGAGTATCTAATGGGGTCTAAAACTTAGGACAAACTTGTTATAATTGGGATCATGATATAACCATTGCACATAATTACTCATTCTATACCTCTCGGTAGTTCGAGTGACTTTGCCCGAATTGGCTTTCTCAAGCCCAATTGGGTGTCCAAACAATGCAAGCAAAATTGGCTCTGGTCGGGTATTACTATCTCTAGATTAATAGATTTAACCCTTTAATTGGGGCTATCAATCTCTTGAATGCACCCCATTTCTTTGTTATCCTGAATTTCCTAGACTTAGTCTCTCTTTCTCAAGAAGAGTCTAAGTCATATAGGCACGAATCAGTGTTTGCAACCACCAATTCAACAATTAAAGAATGATTCAAGATAAATATCATTAACCCATAAACAATTAAGCCCTAAAATTGAAGACCATTAAATACCCACACTAGGGTTGGGTCACAACCCTAGCAAATGGGTTTAGCTACTCATAATCAAGGTAGAAATTAAAGTTGGAGATAAAATATAACCCATAAAAAGCAATTACAAGAGTAAAATCTAAGATTAATGGTAAAAACTACTCTAAAATTACTCAAAATAGCTAAGTACGGCGGTTCACGTGTTCTTCCAAACAAAAGCTAACCTAAAAATGTGAAAAAGAACTATTTATACACAGCTGAAATTACTGGACAAAAATGCCCCTACGGAGGTTCCGCTGACAGTGTAATAGTGAGCACCTTAGCGCCTGGACTTTCGCGGCCGCGCAAAAGCAAGCGCAAACCGCGTTTCTTCTCTTCTGAGCTTGGTCTAGACTTGATTTCGCTAGGAGCGGAAAAACAGCCGCCTCAGCGTCATCTTCAACCGCGGCCGCGAAATATGTTTGCGGACCGCGCTCTTCATTTGAGCTCAAATCTCCAGTCCTCTGATTCTCACTTTCGCCCTCAGCGGAATATGGACCGCGGCCGCGTCAAGTAATTCCGTTGCCGTGTTATTTCACCGCGGTCACCGGTGTCTGTTGTGCCAAAATCGCCTTCTCTGAACCTCAATTCCGCTGAGAGCGAAATTATGGTCGCCTCAGCGGAGGACCTTCCGCTGCCGCACTATTTTATCGTTGTCAACGCTTTTAGCTTAGCTTTGAACTTGTGCAGGTTTCACTCCTTTATAAGCTGGTTATGACTTTCTTGCCTCATTTTGACCAAACAAGCTCAATAAGTTAGTTTTCGGAAATAATTTTACACATTTTTTATCAAAAACCTAAGCAAAAAGGAGCATAAGATAGGCTAGAATCCCTAGTTATCAACTCCCCCAAACTTAAGATTTTGCTTGTCCTCAAGCAAACAAAGTAATTCCCACCTCCAAAAGGTAAAAGAAAGAAGAATTTCAGTTGTTCTAAGGTGACTTAAGTAGGCATCACTTGGGACTAACAATTACCTTCAACTCAAATGCATTATTAACAGACACACAACCTTTTTTGTATGAAAGCCCTAGTACGACACAAAAGCATCAAGAGTTGACTTAACTCATCAAGGAAACTCTGTCTACTACACAGGTCATTGTGGAACCCAAACTCATGATCCTCTTCTCTCCATAAGCAAACCTCGCTTTATATTGTAGCACTCAGAACAAGGATTGTGGAAAAGAACGCTCATCCGTCTCAAAGGAAGGTCACAAGTCCGGCTCTAAGTACCATAAGCTTGCCCCTTATGTGAATTTCCACTAATGTAAGCTCACTCAACTCGACATCATATAGGGCTTTTGTGGGAATGTAATGAAGGCTTTTAGTTCAAAGTAGGATATATCGGTCTATGAAGGTTTCATCTTTCCTTAAGAACTTCATTTTCTTATTTCGGCTCACACTTTCTTGATTCTTTGAGTCATTTTCTTCTTCCCTGGGGGACTAAAGAGACACACTGTCACTCTTTCTTGTTCATGTCAATCCCTTTTGCCGTTCTAATTATTCCAAGCCTTTCATCATTGCATTTGTTGAATCCCTTCATTTTTTTCCTACATTGTACACTTTCTTTTTGACTTTTTGGCTTTTCTATTTCTATCTTTTTGCCTTCTATTTTTCTTCATTTTGTACCTTTTATCACTTTTTTATTCCTTGTCTCTCCCCCCAAACTTATACTTTTTCCACTTGTGCTAAGGAAAGATCGGGTGCCATGAGAGGATCATTTTAGAACGGATAAAGGCTTGTATCATGGTTATTGAAAGAATAAAGGCTATGGCTCAACGGGGTTGACTAGGGATAACATATTTGGTGGGCTATGGATGCTTTCAAGTCTTAGTTTGGATCAAGGAGAGCCTATAATCATCTCTCAAGTTGAGCTACACTTAGGATTTCGCCTTGACAAACATTTAAGGCAAGTTCTAGACTTATTGGCACAGGACTTGGACTTGCAAATCAAGACCTCAACACACAAGCTATTGGATTGCTAAAGAGACAGAGTCGAGGGCCCACAACAACCTTAGCTAAGATTTGAGCAACACAAATGGTCCCGAGAAACCACTCGATGATTGTTGAGTCAATACAGGAGTCTAAAGGTCATAACTAGAACCATTCCTTGCAAATCAGTTTGTCTCTACCCATAAGGTCAAGGGTAAATGTGCTAGGCTCAAGTGAAGTTTTGCCTGAGTCACTTTTATTCATTACTACTATTTACATTAAAACAAAAAGAAAACGGACTTAAACCCTTGAGAAGGTTGTCATGCCATCCATCATCGGGAAGAGCCACCTGGTTCACACAAACTTCATCTTTGGAAAGAACCATGGTATTAAGAAAACCAAAGGCTTATTGATCAAGAAAACTTGTAAAAGTAAGAAGCTACCAATTGAAAAAGAAGCTACTAAATGAAATAAGAAGTTATGCTATTATGGAAAATTGCAAAAGAAGTTATAAAGTAAAATATGGAAAGTAAAATGAATATGTACAATAGGGGATTGAGACGAATATACACAAAAGGGGAATGAATATATACATGTAAAAGTAACTTTATAAACATACCGAAATTGAAAAATAACGAAAAGTGAAAAATAAATGGTAAAGTTATATACATACCAAAAGTGAAAAATAACAATAACGAAAAATAAGTATCATATTTACATTCTAGTCATCAAATCAAAAATAGGACCACCCCCCCCCCCCCCAATAAAAACTAGCATTGTCCTCAATGTTAAAGAAAAAATAAGATCAAAGAGGGGTTAGAGAGTAAAGAAAACTCCCTATGTGGTCTGCATCGGATCCTGCACATCAGTGGGGTCAGCTCCTTGTGGGTCCCGTGGCTGGACTGAATCACCTCCCTCAGGGTCCTCCAGCTCAATCTCCAAGTCATCAGTCTGGGGAATCATCCCTCTCCTCACGGGGTCTCTATCACCCTCCTGCTCTGGTGCCTGTGTTTCCTGAGCTACTGGGACTTGCTCCTCCAATAGTAGGTCCAGTGGGATGTCGCCAGCTGATCTAATCTTTTCCACCTCCCCTCTCAGCAGCTTCACTGACTCCTTTGAGGCCCGAGTCTTTTTCAGCTTCTTCGTTTGCTTGCTCAGGTCCTTAATTGCTTTTCCTTGAGCTGCCAAAGCATCCATGATAAGCTTCTGGTTGTCCAGAAGCTCCTTGAGAGATTCCTCCACTGAGGCGGGCACCTGAGGCCGAGCTGGAACCAACTGAGTTGCCACTGTGCTGGATAAGACAGACAACTTTGTTGTAGCTGCCTGCGTCCAGTTGTTGATACTGGATAGAGTCTGGTTCACCCTCATTGCAGTGAGAGGGTATGGTGATGAAGAGGGCACTGAAGAAGGCATGGAAGTAGATGGTCCGGAGGGAGGATGTGGTATGGCAGTGGAAGGCTCAAAACCAGCGGCCACCACTCCTGGCTCTTCAGACTGGCCAGTGGAAGTAGAGGCTTTGCCCTTGGACTTGGGGTTGTCCGAACCCTAAAGGCTGTACCATGAGAATGGCCTTTTTGGCCTCACTTTGGTGTCGAAGTCCCTTTTCTCGACTTCTTGATCCTCCAGGTACATGGTGAGGAAGTTCGGAAAAGGGTAAGAGCTCTCATCCATGTTGACCACTCTGGTGATCACCCTGGCCATGATATTCCCGATGTTGATTGGAATCCCTACCATGATAGCCCCCACAATAATAGATCGGGAAACCGGCATATCACTGTCATGAGTAGTGGAGTCTAACCGGCTGCACACAAAAGTCTCCCATCCCTTTGTCTCAAGGGATGGGGTCTCCCATCCCTCAAGCTAGAGTAGTCCCCGGAAGAGCAATCAGTGATGCAAGCCAAGGACGGGCCAAGTCTTCCATAGCTACCTTTTCCAAGTACAAGGTCTCATCATCATCATTAAACCCAGCATAGTCGTTCAAGGTCTTGCCATCAAATCTAATCTTCAATTTCCGCACCTTGGTCACATAAGTACCCTTTTTAATATGGGCTACGTTGGCATAGAACTCTTTGACCATGTGCTCATT